TACATTTTAAATTTCATACAATATTTTTTGAAAGCGTTTAAAAATGAGAACTTCATAAAATTTGTAACTCTTTTAACTTGAGAGGGACTCAAACTTTATATGGTCATAATTTACGAACACTACGGTATTAGAGGGATTTATCTCCCATTTCATACCTTAGTATGATAAATTTAAAGTTTTCACTATTAATAGTAGCATGTCTTCTTAAGTAAACTGCACTAGAGGTGTACCGTAAGGCTCTGTAACAGGGCCAATGCTTTTCCTTATTTTTATAAATGATCTTAATTTATCACTAAAATATACAACTTCCTGCCATTAGCAAATAATGATACCAATTTGCTTGAAATCAACAAATTGTTAAAAAAGATAAATAATTACGTTAACCATAATCTGTCAAATCTAGTTCAATGTCATCGGTCTAAAAAACTGTCACTAAATATTAACAAAACTGAAATTATCATATTTAAACCCAGTATTGAAACTTTTTTTTTAAGTTGTCACTCTAAAAAATAATATGAATGTATATAAACATAGCAACATTAACATTTTATTATTATATAACTAAGAACTAAAAACTCTTTTTCAGACTATTTTTTTTAGCTTTAATAATAATCTTGACTAACATTTTTTTTTTTTTGGTTTACATTTGTTAATCGTTGTACAGCTTTAAATAACCAATAGTAACCGTTAATAAATAACCAATAGTAACCGTTAAATAACCGTTAAATAACCGTAACTAAATAAATAACCAATAGTAACTGTTAAATAACCGTTGTACAGCTTTAAATAACCAATAGTAAAAATAATAATATAAACTTACAATGATAGAAAATATAACAAATATAAACAAAGTATCTGAAAGAAGATCGCAATGATCTTGTCGTCAGAACCTTAAACAAGCATTTTAAAAAGATAAGCCAAACAATTGATAAACTTTTACAAAATTCCAAGGTAAATAACCTGTGTCTGAAGAATTAAGATCAACCGAATCTTCTTGTCAGAATTTTCTACAAGAGGAAACCAACATATAAATTAAAAAGTAAAAGTGTAAAGTGCGGGAATAAACAGCAAAAAAAAGGTTAGTAGGTTTATTACATACATCAAATGATTTAGGCAGAACATGCAAAAGATTGATGCTGCATTGACTAATTGGTTTGGGTTGAGGCAGTGATCGGATTAGGGTTAGGAGAAAATTTCATCATTTTACCCGTATTTACAATAACTTATTGTGATGTAAGTTGCTCATATATAAAAAAAAAGTTAGTCAAGATTATTATTAAAGCTAAAAAAAATAGCCTGAAAAAGAGTTTTTAGTTCTTAGTTATATATATATATATATATATATATATATATATATATATATATATATATATATATATATATATATATATATATATATATATATATATATATTTAAACAATTTAAAATGTATTCTACAAAAGGAGTCCTCAATGTTCTTAAAAGAACAGAGCAATTACAAATTAGTTATTACTTTATAAATTTACAAATTAGTTACTAATTTATATATATACATATATATATATATATATATATATATATATACATATATATATATATATATATATATATATATATATAAAGCCGGCGCAAATACGTGTGTGTGTGTGTGTGTGTGTGTGTGTGTGTGTGTGTGTGTGTGTGTGTGTGTGTGTGTATGTGTGTGTGTATGTGTGCGTGTGTGGGAGTGAAGGAAGGGTTTTACGAGTTTTGCCAACCTAAAAAAAGAGATCATAATTTACCAAATAGTGATAAATATTCCATTTTGCCGACTGTATCTGGAAAAAAGATCCAGTTAGCCGACTGAAGATACAAAAAGGTTCTATTTTTGACAACTAATGGTGCAAATATCCATTAAATGAGGAAGGGGGTTCAACACCTCCCTCCTTCGCACCGGACTTATATATATATTTGCAATAAATAATCGCAATACTTTATTGCACACATTTTTGTTACCATTTCCTTCTCATAAGTAAGCAAAATTTTTAAAAAATCAAGTTATTAATCCAAATTTTACTATTTAGTACATACATTGACTGATTTAGCGATAACATGCACAATACTATTTTGCATGTTATCGCTAAATCAGTCAATGTATGTACTAAAAACCCTGTTTTCAAAGTTTGTTCCTGCACTTTACCTGTTAAAAATTTCCGCATTTTACCGATGCCTCGTTATTGTTATCCCTCTCTCTCTCTCTCTCTCTCTCTCTCTCTCTCTATATATATATATATATATATATATATATATATATATATATATATATATATATATATATATAATGTATAAACGCTAAAGATAAAAGGTTTTAAAAAGGTTTGAAATACAAAATAAGAATATAGGATAAGACTGAACTAAATAAAAGACAATTATTAATGTTTTCCATGCAACACATTTAAAAAGTATCGAAGAAATCTTAGTTTTGCTAACCATTTTCTTTAAAATGTGCATTTTAGCCATGAAGTATAGTAAAATGTTGCACAATTTTTGCGTATTTAATCAGTAATGTTTATTTTTACAATAAAATATTTGACTAATGTTTTATCCGAACTTTGCGGAAAAGTTGTTCTTCATTTCTGATTCTATACAGTTCCCGTAATGAGGTTTGATGATGATAGAATATTAGAATCTACCATCTCTATAATACTTTTATATTGTAAACGTCCTAAGGACGTAAGACATAGTAAAAGAAACTATTCACTTAATAATCAAGCTATTCATGCCATATATTTTGCAATGATATGCATAACTTACTATCAAATATAATTATAAAATTTTTAAAAAGTGCACAAAAATTATGCGAAAATATATATATTTTTTTTGATATATTTTTTTCTACTAAAATTTTATTATTTTATTTGCTTAGAGTTAGTTTAGATTTAAAATTAACTTTACATAAAATGTTTAGATTAGTTTTCTACATTAAAAATATTACTTAACAAAATATTAACTTCAAGGTTCAAAGACTTTGATTAATTTATTTATTTCATTTCGGTGCCATTATTTCCTTATTAAAGAATATTTTGCTGTGAATAAATACATACGCCAATGGGCGGTCGATAACAGCTACTTAACAAGTGGTGTTTGTTTTTATTGTTAAGAAGTTCAATGATAGAGATTTCTTTGTAGTCATCCGAAACGCTGAAATCATTTTTATTTCAATCTTCAATATTTTCCTTTATGTATAAGACCTCTTCCGTCTAATATTCTTAATAAAAGAAAAGATCTGTTTTCATGGTTCTCAAACAACCAAGTTACTGATTGTAGTAAAATTGATTGTTTCAGAATCAAATTATGTAACTATGTAATTCTGAAACAACCAAAATAATTTGATTGTTTCAGAAACATAAAAACTAAACTTTTCTTTTATCAAAAGAAAAAAAAAAAATTTTTCTTTACCTCATAAAAAGACTATAAAGCTTCAGTATTTTAATATGTTTTAGCTTTTCAATACGTTTAAATTTAAAGCATCCCGACTGAAGCCCATTTTTTACTAACCAATCCGTCAGTTGAGATTTCTAAATTCTAAAATAAGAAAACTAAGACTTATATTTAAAAAACATAATACATAAAAAAAAAATTCTAAAATACATAAAAATTAAATTCCAATTTAATTTTTATATAATCACGTAGTTAGTAATAAAAAAAAACTTTTAAAAAATCAAACTTTAAATATGATAAAGTTACAATATTCATTACTCCAAATTTAAAATTATTTCGACACAAACTGTAAAAACTAGTTTAATCAACTTGAATCAAATCTGTAATGAACTAGTAGTTACGTTTTCCTTAAAAAAGTATATATATATATATATATATATATATATATATATATATATATATATATATATATATATATATATATATATATATATATAAATTAATAGAAAATCACTTTGCAAGTTTTTTTTTTTTTTTTTTAAATGAAAAAAAAAAAAAAAAAATTGATTTTCTACTAATTTGTAATTACTAAAATATTCAAAGCTCAAAAACACTCGATGCTTTTTTATTCCATTCCAATATTTTACAAACTCTTTTAAGATCTTTCATTTATTAAATTTTTTTTTGTAATTTTTGACAACTATGATAAAAACTTTACAATATAATACTTGATGCAAAAAAAAGTTATATATAAAGTGATTTCAAATGTTAAACACCATAAAAGTTTAGTTTGAGTTTGTAATCGTCAAAAGATTTTATTCTCTAAACCATGCAAGAACCTTTGGGTTATCTTCAAAACAAAACGATATTACTTTGGTTATCCTCCAAACCAAACATTAATCCATGTATTATCCTTCAGTAATTAATAATCCTCCTGATACCATTTTTTAACTTTTATAATTCGCTTAAAAAAGTATGAAAAAAAAAGTTATGAATGTTTTTCAGATTTTACTTATTCAATATTCTATATTCCCATTTTTACATTTGCTTTACGAAATTATCCCTGCAATCAGTTATTCCTACAATCACCAAATTATTCCTATAATCAATTTACCCGAATAGTCTCGCTTTTTGGATTTTTATTTCGTCAAGCTAACATCAAATTTTACTTAAAAATTGAACAAAAGGAAATAATAGAAGAGTAGTAAAAAATTTCAAAAAACAAACAAAAATAAAATTCTTTATGCTTTTTTTTTATTAACATTTAACCAGCTTTTATATGTCAACAATGTATGCGTAGTTTTGTGAGAAACATTTATTGACGTGCGAATTTGTCATTTGGTTTTTATTTTAAAAAAATAGCTTTTTGACTCTTTCTATATAATTTTACTTTACTTATTTATATATAGACTTGTTTTATATTTATACTAATAAATACTATGAAGTGTATGTAATATACAAATTCTATAAAGTATATGTAATATACCAATTATTTAGTTTGTTTATTATTTTAACATGTTTAATTTTGTTTTTGTTGTGCTATTACATTTATACTTTTCCAATATAATTGTGTTCTAATAAATTATGTTGTATATTTATATCTTTATTCATATCTAGTATTTTATATCAAAAGATAACATGATACTAATCGGGAAAGAATGTTTATAAATCTACTTTGTTTTCTGCTAATTCAAATTAATGAAATATCATATGTAAATGGCGAAGAATCAGGAAATAACGAAATAGGTCAGTATTTAAAAATAAAAAAAGAAGTAATAAGCTAAATAATACTTTAAAACAAAAACAAGTAATATAAAGATGAAAAATGATAACAACAAATGAAAAATGATAATAACATAATTAAAATCAGCAGTTAATAAATTTTGTTATGATTTGGGATTTGAACACTTCAATAACGGCTTTGTATGTTATTTTAAGTTTTATAAAACTAATGTTTTGTCCAAGCTACTCATCAACTGCATTAGTAACAAATTGCTTTCTCTTGCGCAGGTTTAAATATATAATTAATATGAAATTCTTTAATGCATGATCAAAGGTCGATTTTTCCGCAGATCCGCAGAGAGAAAGGAGGGGGGGGGGGGTCGCGAGGGACATTTTTTCCCGGGCGGCAGATATCCAATGGGCGCCAAATAAATTGTAGGTACATAAAAAAAAAAAAATTCTTTAACGCGAATTAAATCTAGAGCTGTTTGAAAATCTTCCAATTAATTTTTTTTTCTGTCCGGTTCGTGAATGAAATGGCCCGGTGAAGTTGTTAATTGAATGAAATGGCCTGGTGAAGTTGATAATTAGAAAAACTGTTCTTTTAGAAGTTTTTTTTATGTAATTAATTTCAGTCTTATTTAATCCAATCACAAACTCTTCAAAAATGAGATGGGTAAAGTGCAAACTCTTCAAAAATGAGATGGGTAAAATGTAACCGGTAAAGTGTAACGGCCTATAGATCTCATTTGGATCCTTTGGCTGATAATAGGTATCCTTGAGGCCAACTTCAAACCTTGCAGGTATTTTCCTCTTCCTGGACAGAGCTGGTTAGTTTAAACCCATCATTTTAGCAGATTCAGTTGCCGCATCGAAAAGTGTTTTAAAATGTGAGTAAGCAAAGATCTCAAAATTTGTTATAGGGTCTGAATGATGTATTCAGTCTTATTAAATTTGAGTTAACTTCCCTGAAGTTGGTTGCTTGAAATTTCTAGGATTGTCAAAATGAGTTTAATAAATTCCAATTTATAAAAGGTGTCATAAACCTGAAAAGAAGACAAAAAGGTCATTGCTTCCATTCGATGTTTGATAAAATCAGGGTTGGTGGTAAGGTCTTCCAGCCAAACGTGAAGTTTTCTGTAGAAAATTTCTGTAAGAAATCATCTGCAGTTACTAGTAATAGATATTAGAGATAACTTGCGCGTTATCCATCTAGTTGGGCAAAGAAGTTTAAATGATGTTTGCAGTTTGGTGTCAAACTTTCGCTTTTATTTTGGTCTTTTAGGCTTGAAAACCAAGCAAGCCTTATTGGTGAGCCTCTGCTAAAAGCTATGAACTTTTAAAAATAATCTGAGCGTGGTACTACCAGGGGCTTTGTATGGATCGAACTCGGAACTTCTTGCGTATAAGGGGAGCACTCTACCACTATACCACTACCGCATATATATGTATATATATATATGTATATATATATATATATATATATATATATATATATATATATATATATATATATATATATATATATATATATATATATATATAAATTAGTAGAAAATCCCTTAGCAAAATTTTTTTATTTTGTAATTGCTCTGTTCTTATAAGAACATTGACCACTCTATTTTCTAGAATGCATTATAAATTTTATATATATATCTATATATATATATATATATATATATATATATATATATATATATATATATATATATATATATATATATATATATATATATATATATATATATATTATATATATATATATATATATATATATATATATATATATATATATATATATATATTTAACGTTTATATAAGATTCACATTAGATATACTGGCAAGAATTCTTTTATTTTTATATAAAACAAACATTGATTTATTGTAAACACTTTTTTAGCTGCAACAAAATCATTCCCCCGTCAAGTGCAGGTTTGCAGGTAAACTATGACGTCGAGTGTTAGGTAGATTACTGAAATTTTTTTTAAACAAGTAAAATTTGAATTATTCAAAATTTTGTTTGGGCTGAAGGTCCTCCTTTTTCCTTTTTTTTTAAGAAATTTCTAGGTGTAGAGGACTTTTTTTTGAAATTGACGATTGTGCTCCCTTACTTTGAAACCCGTGTCGTCTGCCCTGTGTATGTACCTTCAGATCTGTTATTTGTACCTGGAAAGAATTTTAAACAAACAAAAATACATTCGAAAGATCTTAAGCCTCTTTCTCACTCAGTCAGGTTAAGCCTCTTTCTCAGTCAAAATATGTTTGAAAACACCACAAAAATGTTAAAGCTAAAAAATACGTTTATACAATTATCTTTCAGCGGCTGTTCCACCTTCTTTTTTTTTTACGGGTTTTCAAAAAAGTTTCTTATTATGTAAAACCGCTTCTTCAATGCACCAATGAATAGTAATGCTAATTAAAGCATATAACGACTATCATAGATATTTTAGTTTTTTAAAAAATTTGCTTATTTCATGAAGAATTTCATGAGGATTTTTATCAAATCGGAAACTGAGATGTATAGCATCATTTAACCAAGTTTAAGTAGTTTCAATACCAAAACTAACTCGCTCTGATGTCAGTACTATCAATTGCATTCTCTTCATTACACTTGCAGTGACTGTTGCATCGTGTAAATAACCATTTCCAAAATTTAAGGTTATTAAAACCTATGGTCCTCAATTGTTCAATTTTCTAAATATACTGGCCATACTAGCTGGTAACAATTAGAAAGCTACCATTATTTTTTTATCATTATTTTATTACCATTATTTTTTAAACATTATTTTTTTAACTATTTTTGAACAAAGAAAAATGAGTAGGAAATATTTCTTATATAGACCATGCGTCGATAAGTTTGCTTAGCGAATTGTTACTTTAGGAATGTTATTTTTTATGGATGGTGGTCAAAAGCAAACATTTCTTGTGTGATGAAAAACTGTGTTGTTAATTATTTGAGTAAATATCTTTAAGGTAGTAGAGTTATTAGAAAGAAAAAAGTTTGTATTCAACTTTTGAAAATTTTTTTTTTCTCACAATGTATGCTTTGCAATTAGAAGGCTTACAAAAAAATTAAATTATTATTTATTAATCATTAAAGGTCAAAAAAGGTGAAGAAGATTTTTTAGTAACTGTTCATAATTTATGATTTAAACTTTGACAGGTGATGTATTATGTATGTCATTGTGTCGCAAACTGAAAGGTGTAAGTTATGTCAATAAAATATTAATATTTTTGTAAATTTGTGCAAAAATGGGGTAATTAAGGTCGCAAAATCTTAAGAAAATACTAAACGAGAGAAGCATTAAATATTATTCTAGTGCATGCTGTAAATACTAATACAATAAATATTTGGGCCAAATTTTAAATCAATTTAATAATTAGTTAAAAACATATCTCTGTTTCCAGCCCAAAAGATATAATTTTGAGAAAAATACAAGTAAAAAAAAGTAAACAATTAAAGTTCAAAATTATTCACTTTTTTACATTATACTGACTAATCTTGATTACAAAAGCTATTTTGCATTATTATGAACATTTTTTTCTTGATTTTTTTTTATGGTTACATTGCTTTTCTGCTTCAGAGACTTGTCTGGTGACGTAAACTACAATTTTGCCCATTATTACTTAGTGTCACTTCAAGCTCATTAAAATAAGTTATTTAAAAATTGGTGTTTATAATAGAATTTAGAATAGCTGATCTTACTTCAATACTTCGAGCAGTTCAACATGTATATTGTTTAGACATCTTATATATTTTGATTTAACGAATAATTGGAATTGCTTTTTTCCATGTAAACATTTTTCAAAAAAGCTATAAAAAAAAATGACTATAAATATTGGATATTGTACACAACAGTTAGAATAGAAAATTTTAATTACATGTCATTTTTTCAGCCAATTTTTTAGACTGTAATTTGTACCATAAAGATTTTAATGCGCATACAAAACTGATGGCAATCTTTTACCCATTTTACGAAATGCTACAACATTAGGGTTTATTTCAAGGGGCCACACACACACTTTAACTAGATCTTTTTTTTTGTATTAGAGCACTTTTTAACATTAGTAGTAGATAAATAAATAAAGAGTTTCTCATTAAGAACCATTGCAACAAGTTTTTAGTACGTTACCTAGGTTACCTAGACTTATTTTTTTTGAAGAATTAAAATGTAAATTTACAAAATCTTCACATCCTAGACATTTAAGAAGCATAACTGTGTTTTTAGCTAAAATAAATTTTCATTTATGATGTTCATTTTAAAGATCGTGTACAACTTTTTTGTTCGACAACTTATTAAAGAAGGATTAGCTTGGAATATTTTCAATTGAAAGTCTGAAAGTCATTTCTTATACTAAAATATCAGTACTGTTTATACCCTAAAACCAAACTATTATGTAGACAGCAATGTTAGGCATCGTTTTATTTAAACAGAGATTTAAAAGTATGTCAACATAAAGTAAAATCACTTAAAATATTTATGTTTCGCAAACATCTGTCAAGTTACATAATAAAACTTGAGCAAAAATTTCATCGGCTATTCTAGAATGTCTTTTTTTAACAATCCGCCCCCCCCCCCCAATAATTTTAATGGTACGGGCCTGATATAGTTATTGTTAAACAACGTTTTCTTAAATTCGCGTATAAGAAAAATTAGTTTGTTTCCCCCAATATTGAATTGGGGGAAAACAAACGCTTTGATTATTCTGTTGCTACGCATATTTACAATGAAACTTTTCCACAAAATGCAATATAAACTCTATACTGGCTGTATAAAAAAAAAATTGTTATTAATAATAGCTGTTATTAACTGAATAACAATATTTTGTCTTACCGGTTTTTACATCCATTTAAAACAATCACGACAACCATTTAAAACAACCATGATATTCATTTAAAACACCGCGACAATTGTGATTTTCAATTAAAACAATCGTGATTTTCAATTAAAACAATCGTGATTTTCATTTAAAACATTTAACGCATGCGTAATCTCAACATTCTATATTATTTTTTAAAAAAA